TATAAACAATATTAGGGGTCCAAGATGGTGTATGAAAGTCACATTAAGCATTGATGGTCCAAAAATCCTTGTGCAAACTCAAACCCTAATTTCAGGTCATCAGTGCTAGGAGATGTCTTGAGCTGAGCAAACCCTAATCCTGTCTGGAGTCTAGGAGTCTTGTGAGGAAAATCTTGATAATATGAGAGGGCAAATTTTGGGGTACAATAGGTTGTTACTATAGATCCTACACCCGGATCTAGGGCACACTTTTAGGTAAACAACAATAGATCATGGAGACTGTACGGCGTAGACCGATATTCTTGAAGCGATGGCTGTGTTGGTGTGATACTTTGGTTGGTACCGATATCCCTTGTGTTGAAATGAGGAGAATACGGGGTCGCCGCGTGGTGTCATGAAGCACTAACGAACCTTAGAACCTTAGTTGAACAAACTTGGCCATTAGAAAGTAGTGAGGTAGCCGGTCTCGGTGTAATGCTGGGAATTGGTTGATACTCGATGCTACACTCATTGAGATCGGACTTTCGAGATATTTTGTATGCAAGAAAATATTGTTAAGCTGAAATAACTTGATAAAGGAAGATCAGTGATATTGAGACTCCTTAGAACCCGATTACTATTTCTAAGACAGGTTGAGCCAACTAAACTTCAAGAGGGTACTTACCTACAAACCCCATGCAAGCTTAAACCTAAGGCTGCTTGTGTGACTTGTTTTCTTTCTTTGCCTAACAATCTAAACTCACTGCAGAACTTTGTTTGTATTCCTTGCAGGACCTTGTTTGTATAAATCCAATAATTTGGTTTCTTACCCTGCATTTTTTGCTTAACGCATAGAATACACATCATAACATCATGCCACAACATTTCCTTAACCATTTCAAGGATCTCAAGGGTTTGTGATGCAGGTTATGACAAATCAGACGTCTAGCAAGCGGCAAGGGGATTTATTTTCCTCTAGCCAATATCGTCAAAAGATCAAAGCTCAACAACTTGAGTCATGGGCTATGACCCACTTGATATGGTGAGCTTGACTCTCCTAGGAGGATGTTCAATGACATGAAAGTTCTTCAATCAAAGCTACAAACTTCAAATGCTGACATCTTCTTGTTTACCTCGCGAGTCCTTGAAAACATTTCATACGCATATCATACATGTTATTGCATAAACATGTTTCAAAGCAGGGTTCTCATCTTCTTCGCTGTTTATTTCAACAAGTAAAGAAATGGCTCTCCAACAAGACAACCGAGATCTCCAAACTCAAGAGGCCCAGTTCATGGAAATGTTCCAAAACCTATACAAGGGGCAGGAAGAGTTGAAAGAACTCCTTGTTGGAGACCTGGCCAAGAAAATTCCTGTGGAAAATAGGGACGAACGGTTGGAACAACTGCAAGCTGAGGTAAAAGCAATGAAAACCCAGATGCTGGGGCAGATGGATCTTATCCAAAGCCTATCCATGGGACAAGAAGAGCTGAGGGCCATTATCACCAAACTTCATCAAGATGGATATAACTGTAAGAAGCAAACAGTCGAGGTTGGGGACCAAGTCATTGATCAACCTCCGAGAAGACAAGAGTTTGGACCTTTCCAATTTTCTACTACATCGCGGGTCCAACAAAAACCTCGCCAAAAACAACAGGTTAATCAGAGTAAGCCAGATACACCCAAGAGACCGTTTACCAAACTCAACATGCCGCTGTCTCAAGCTTTATAACACATGTTGAGGATGAATCTGGTTACGTTGATAGGGCCTCATCCGAATCCCAATACTTCTTCCCTTAACTACAACCCTGATGCAAGGTGTGCATATCAATCCAACAGACCAGGGCATGATACTGATGATTGTTGGATATTAAAATTCAAAATTCAAAACTTGATTGATGAAGGAGTGCTGGAGTTTACACAAGACGGTCAAGCCTAGTTCTTTTGACATCCCTCCAAGGCACACCATCTGAAGTGATAAGTTCTGACAAGAAGGCTTTTCGTTCATTAGAACTTTCAATTTATAATTTTCTTTTGATTGTTTAAACATTTATTCATATCAAGCCTTGTTATTTCATCAATGCATTGCACATGTTTATCTTAAATTAATTTGTTCTCATCATGATTAAACTGCTTTCTTACTTCCTTTTTGTGATATCCAACTCTTGATTAAAAGCTCTGAGCCTTTAGAGGGAGGATGACGAAAACGATACCACAATCTGTAAAGTGTGCTTTTGAACAGACCTTGTTGACGATGTACATGCGTTGTTTAAAATCTGAAATAGTGGAGTTATAAGGAAGATAATCCTTAGTCAACCTCTTTGAGCCAAAGAAGTAGGAGTTTTTCTTTTCACACAAATTAAAACTTTTAATCATAACCTGGGGCTGTAATACCCCAAATTTGCCCTATCCCCTTTAATTTTATCTGGCTTATACATTTTACATTTTTCTCATGTGCATAACTCCCATTAGGTAATCTAGCACATCATTCATTCATTAATCAATAAAACATGGCATGGGAACAAGGATCTTGAAGTTAGAGTTTTGTATGTGCTTTTAGACTCTTATCTTCACTCAGAATTGAATCAGTTGGTTTTTCATTAACCATAGTTTATGGAGATAGGGTTTCTATACTCATGGTCACCGAGAGCTTTATTCTCATCGAGCTATAAAGATTATCAAGTTTCTTCATCAAAGATTTACAACTTGTTAATGTTAGGTTTCTTCAATACCCCAAATAAAGACCTTGTGAGTTAGGACTTGGTATCTTCTCAACATCTCAAGTGTATCCCAGGAGGATTAAGGTTCTTGCCCATGGTGTTTGTGTTTATTAATTCAATTTAAGTGTTCTTCTTTGCTTCAAGCCTCATTTTTACTTTCAAAGACTCTTCAAGGCATTATTATTGTGTTAGAATGAAATACAAGGGGAAGGTCGTGGCATGTGGAGATGAGCTTGTGGAGTCTTTTGATCAAAACAAATTGTGCCGCTTGTCATGAAAGTTATTGGTTGCTGGAGATTTAGAGATAAGGTTCCATTTGAGAATTGATGTTCAATTTGAGGTAGTCATTCAAGTTCAAGAGCAGATCATATTTCATCAAAGTTGTGTGAGAAAAATGGGAAAGTGTGGAAGTAAGTTGCAAGGTATGCTTTATGATTCAAGTTCCATTCATTTGGTATCTTGGATTACAAGTCTTCTTGTTGGATCTTATGCATACTTACATCATTGATTTATATACACCTTGGTGCGTGAGAGGATATGGATTCAGCTGTGCCTCAATCAATCAATGGAAATTTTCCATATGGTTCCAAGATGTGTATTAACTCAGGGAGTAGGCCATTAGGTACAAGGTATTCAAGCAATGGATAAGGGTTTTAAGGAGTATCGTACATGGCATCCAATTGGATTTTTAATTCAAGTTCTTGTGGAATAATGATTCAATATTGCAAAATCTAGTCAAAGGGTATGATTCACATGGATTTCTTTTTGTTATCTAAAGGATCAGCATCCTTCGAGAAAGCATTCAAAGATGACGTGGCAAACATGATGAAACAGACATGGAATCAAGAATTTCATCAAGTTCATATTCAAAGGCGAACACTTTCATCAATATTTACAAAGCATAATAGCCTAGTCAGAATTCAAATAAGATTCATTGAAATATTTCAAGGTCCTCACAAAAGTTCATCAAAGAGAAAGTTATAAAGAGATTACATTTACAAAGTATAACTCACTATGAGGTTTAAGAATGTGCTACAAAGAGATTACAAAAAAAGTGTTAGCTTGCATGGGTTGATCAAGAAGCTAACTGTAACCATAATCCCTATTTCCCTAAGCCTCTTAAAAGTAATTCAAAGGGATGTCTTCTTTCAGCTTCATGTTGTACTGGGTTCCAAGTTGCCTCCACGCCGAGGTCTTGTCTTCATGCTGAAATCCTACACCAATCAATAACATTATGAAGTGATTTTGAGTTGGCAGTGACACACTGTAACCCTTCACCATCTTGTAATCGAGAGAAACAACTTGTCAACGGCCTTGCATCATTAGAGAAATTGATCTTAAAGGCCACGATACAAACAACCCTGCAAACTTCCAACTGCAGTAACAAACTTTTGGCAGGAGAGATAATAGGTTATAACAGCAAAAAAGAAGAAAGTGAGAAAAAAGAATTTCCAGTTCAGCAATTAACAGAGTTAACAAAATTCTCAACAAACTTCTTGTAACTCTAGTATCCTAACTGTCCTAACAGAATTTAGCTCCTAACCTGTAACAAACTTCTTGTAACTCTAGTATCCTAACTGTCCTAATAGAATTTAGCTCCTAACCTGTAACAAACTTATTATAACTCTAGTATCCTAACTAAACTAACAGAATTTAGCTCCCAATAAAGAAAACGAAAAAACACCCTGCATCTCAACAAAAACTATCAATTCCTAACTATTTTTCCTAACACTAACCAACTTATTACCAATAAACCATAACAGAATTACAAATCTTCCAACAACCATGCATAACTAACTCCTAACAAAAACCTAACAGTTTCCAATCTAACCATCAATTAGCCCTCAACCAACCTTCCTAACCAAGAAGAAGAAAGTAGAATTTCTAACTGTTGTGAAAAACTTCTAATACTTCCTAACAGAATTCTCAACGAACTTCTAACTGATCTAACAAAAAAGAGAGAGAATTGGCAGGATGTAACAGAAAGCTACAAAAAATATCAGAAAATGAGAAAAAAGGGGAACTGACCAAAGAAATCTCTGGAACCCTCAATCCACATCACAAAAGCTTCTTGGCTCTCCCTCCGAATTCGATCTTCATCTTCCTCAATCTCTCAATTCTCTGCACCTTCCTCGCATCACTTCATCACCAATACTCCCTATTCTCTGCATCATCATCAACAAATCATCTTCATCATTGCAAATTATTCGATCTTGATCACAACCATCACTGTAACGACATCAACTCACTAATTTCATCATCATCATATTCTTCAGTGATTTCAGCCGCATCTACCATAATTCAGCGCATCAACAATAACACGATGATAAAAAAAGATGCAAATGACGGGGATCGATCAGAAGAATTTCTCAGAATAACCAAGTAGAAGAATAAACGGAAACGGAGTCTATTGAAGCAAAGAGCTGAAAGGCTTACAGTTCCGTCCGAGATTCCTCGTCTTCGTCGTCGCTGAAGAACCACCAGAGTTCTCCGGTAGGTAAGCTCCAAAAATCCTTTATCGATTTCGCTTTTGTTGTATGTGAATCGAGGAATAAGATCGAAATTGGAGGAGGTAGAGAATCCATGGATCTGAATTTTGGCAAAGTAAGACGGAGGCAGTGGCTGTGATGTTTCCACGGAGACGCAAACAGTTGAGAGTATGACGACGGCGAAAGGCGGAGGAATAGTTTTGTGCATTTTATGTGTGTTGAAAGATAGAGAAGGATGGATAAGTGAGGGCGATTTGGTGAGAGGCCCGCGGAGGAAATCTTTGGAGAAGAGCCTTTTAGCCGCCGTGGATGAACATCGAAGGAGATGATGTCACAAACTTTTTAACCCTAGTTGTGCAATACGACACCATCCCATTCATCTTTTCCTTTTCATTTACTTGTCTTTATGGTATTTTCTATTTAATTCAAAAAATAGCAAAAGTTGGAAATTTGTGATGGTGTTGGACTAAGGAGTACGTTGGGCCTCCTCTCTTCACTTTCCTGGCTCAGTACTCTTTTTTTAGAGACATGATAGTATTTCCCATAACAAAAATAACTCATTGGGCTCAATTTGATGGGCCCTAGCGCATGTCTACTACATTGCACCCTTGATGGTAACTCAACACCGCCCTGATACTCTATTTTTCTTTGTTAGAGTAAAGACTCTCTTTTAATCTTTTTCTATATTTTGGTTAGGATATAAAGAGGTAATAAACTATAGAATTTGTTAGACTTCTTTAATTGATTTTAGAAATTAATTTTAGTTTTCTTTTTTTGGAATTTTCCTTACATAAAAACTAATAAATAAAAATACTTTTTGCCCATATTTTCACGCCGCTTTGCCTTGATATTGTTGACACGTTTGTTTATTGTGCAAGGTACATTTTTATGCTTTCGATCATGTAACATAAAAGGTAGTTATATGATCAAAGCATACGGCTTATGCTCGCTTACGATGCGACACGCCTTATTTCTTATCGTCCTGAGAAATTCATATTGTATTATATGTTGTCCTGATACATGTGATATTTTGTGATACTTTGCACAGGAACTTCTGATTGCGTGTTGCATTCGCAACACGCATTTGCTTTTATCTTAGTTGGATATTGTTTCTGACTCTGTTTTTTTCTTGGTGAAGCTTGCTTGACGCGTACTCCCAGTTTCTCAAGTGCTTTCGTCTGCTCTTGATGACTTGCTCGCTTTGGTAGTCGCCGCTACTACCCTTTTACCTCTTCGCACTTTATTGCATTTTGTTATTGCTTTCTAGATATCATGAGAAGTAGGAAATAAAGAGCATGCGCTCGAAGTCACTGTTTAAAGACCTGTAGCAGGAATTCCGCACTTCATTTGCTATATGTGTTGTGCTTGTGTTTGCTTCTTTATTTGTTGATCGATGAGTCACTCGATTTAGAAATTGAGATCAAGACTTTGCTCTCAGTGCATGCTCCCTATAGGATTTTATTTCTTTCCTTTACTTCTTGTTGATCGATGAGTCACTCAATTTAGAAATTGAGATCACGACTTCGCTCTCATTGCATGTTCCCTATAGGATAGTTTTGTTAGACCTTCTTTGGAAGGCTAACCTAGATAGGATCTCTTTAGGTGTGCTCTCTTGAGCTTATTATCTTGTTTGCTTTATCCTTGTACATACCATGTTCCCTTAGGATGCACTTGCTCTGTTCGGATGTGAGTTAGACCTTAGGTTGTAAACCAGGCATGCTAACATTAGGTAGACGTTTCCTTTTGTTAATCCAAACCTTAGGACCACCATTGTATGATAACATTAGGATAGAAATAGACTAGTCTCCCTTAGACTCTTTTCTTCCCCTTTTTGCATCCTTGCATCTAAAACTAAGACTTCTTTTCTTAGCAATTCAAAAACATGCTAATCTCACTTAAACCCTTTTTCAAGGTAATAAAACACAAACCAATTCAAACCATTTTTGTGCGCTCGAGCACCTTTTCCCTAAAACCCTTTTCAGGTAAGGAAATGATTAATTTACTTCTGTTCCGACGCATAAGTCTCCAAAGGTCGAGCTGCGGCAGAAGGCGGAATTAACGCTGTCTATAAAAAACACAAAACAAACAAAAACATGTGAGTCAAACTACGGTAGCTCTGATTCCTCAAAAAGGATACGTAGGAATTGGGGTAGGGCCCAAGCGAGTACAAATTTTCCCTACATCCTTTTCTCCTTCTTTTGCATGCATCCTCCCTTCAGTAGTATAGTAAACAGTAAGCATATATTAAACACACCCATAAGATAGACAACAAGAGTGGATACCGTAGAGTACTACGGGCGTGTGGGGTTCTAATACCTTCCCCTCGCGTAATAGACTCCCTTACCTGATCTCTAGGTCGCAAGACTGTAACTTCTCCCTTCTCAGGTTTTCTTGATGTTTACCTTTCCATTCATGTGGGATAAAATACGTTCGATGGCGACTTCATTGTTTGATGATTTTCAGCCGGTTGTTTCAGCTGGCAACTTCACTAGGGACAGGTCGACCAAATGCTGGTCCATCCCGGAGTCGCTCCTAGCTCTTGCTTTCTTTTCTTTGGGTGTTTATTTTTATGCTTTCAGTTTATTCACTCATTTTATATATACTTGAGCATATATATGCATTGCAGTTTACTATCTTCCATATACTACTGTTGTACTGGATCTGCTTCTTATTGGGTGGGTGCTACTATGAGGTAAAAGGCCCAATACCCAGGCCAAAGTTGTATATCATAGGAACCCTAGGAATATAGTGGAACATGAACGGCCAGTTGACTTAGGTCTCACTATCTCAACCATGTCGTCCACGCTCAGATGAGGTACAAATGAGGGGCTATCGTTTTCACGTAGGTGATACGACGATAGTTTTTCAGGAGTACCCTCGATTCTGAGTTACCACGACCTTACCTTGACCTAGTTTTCACCCGTGAGTGGGGAGGGGATTATTATCATAGGTACATATGGTAATTATGCTCAGACGGTGACAATGTTTAGATGGTTTCTCACAGACGGTGACTATTGGTTCTATGGTTATGTCCTGGATTTCTATCAGTAACTAGGAAGTTCTCAGATTTATTTTCTGGGTTCCGAATCTGTTCTTTGGTTTATGTTCCGGACCTCTGATCCAGGTACTTACAGATTGCAGAAACAGTACAACAGAAAACTGTATCATGGAAGTAGTAACCCCATGACCATTTGCACTCACATCATATCATATTTATTTTTCAAAAGAAATGTCAGAAAAATAAAACTATATACTAACCCTGCATGTGCACGTCCATTCCGAGTTATTTCATGAAGTTATAGTTTCCGTCAGTGACGTCTAGCAACAGTGATGTTCTCAAGAGGATCAGGAGGGATAATTGTACTTATCAGTGCTACCCAAGTTTTTCGCTCAAGTCCTTGGCCTTCTTTGAAGAGTTTAAAAGACCGTTTAGTCCGCCCTAGTGCAAAAAAAATATTATTGTAATACATGGTGGTGCATTGACTCTACTTCAGTTTTACGACTACGAGTTACACTGTTTCACCTTCAAGGACTATCAGATTGTACCAACTCCGGAAAAATACTCTCGTTTGTTCAAGATTATCGAGCACACACTTGTTGCTAGTCCGAACGAGCATGATTTTGAAGCTATCGCTAAGGCACTTTATTTGGGCCTTGATGATGTGAGATAGAAATGGAAGAAGAATGGTAGCCTACCTTCGGAATAATTATTATATTGTTACTTCAATTACCGACAAGCTTGTTAGACGGAGTTGCTCATCTTGTACCCCCATAACTTTCTTGTATTCAATTCTGTGGGAATTTCTCTTATTTCTGGATATTTTCTTCATACGGTCATTCTTATCATCATGTTGCTCGATTACTGCTCACGGTAATTGAACTATGGAAAACCGGAATAGACAATCATTTCATACATCATATATATCATGCGTTTCATGAATTGCAGGTTTTCTTGCGGGATTTCTTATCTGATGGTTTTGCCTTTTGTTATCAGAATCTACAAGACGACTTCCTTACATCCTTACCGCACTCGAGCCAACAAGTTGAGGATTATGGAACAGATTGAGCAGAACCAGGCCGCTCTCTGCAAAGACATGGACACCATGGGTGATCGAATGAATTAGCTCATGGAAACTCTTCATGTCGTCATCCATGGGCAGGAAGAGCTTAGAATAAGCGTTACTAAGCTGGTAGACAGTGCCTCCATATCTGAGAATGGTGGACCCGAGAATGACCATGGGGGGATTCCTAAGGAGAACCCACGACTGATTGTGGATGACCACTATGATGTCATCGATCTCGATGACCCTCCAAAGGATTCTACGACTGATTTGTCTGAAACTTCTAAGATGTACAAGGCTTTGGAAGAACGCTTGAAGGCCATGGAGACTTCTAAGAAACCAGGATTCAGTGCCGCTGCTATGTGTTTGGTTCCAGGGATTGTGATTCCACCAAAGTTTAAGGTACCTGATTTCGACAAGTATAAAGGGGTTACATGCCCAGAGACTCATCTCCGATCTTACTGCAGAAAGATGGCTGCTTATGCTAGCAATGAGCCATTGCTTATGCATTTCTTTTAGGACTGTCTGGTGGAACCTCCATTAGAGTGGTACATGCAGTTGGAGCAGACTCATGTTGGTACCTGGGGTGAGCTTGTTGATGCTTTCTTAAAACATTATTATTACAACACTGCCATGGCACCTAGCCGTGCACAGTTGCAGAGTATGTCTCAAAAGACTAGTGAGTCTTTCAAAGAGTATGCCCAAAGGTGGAGCAGTTTGGCTGCGAGAGTTCAACCTCCTCTCCTAGACCGGGAATTGGTAGATCTGTTTATGAGTACCCTCCGAGGCCCGTATTTGCAACATATGCTCAGCAGTACTTCTGATTCATTTTCGAATATGGTCATCATCAGGGAGAGGGTTGAAATGTGTATTACCGTAAGGACTATTACAGGTGCATCTGGCACAAATGGTAACAACAACTCAGGCGGTGGGAAGAAACCGTAATCTATCAGTTTTGTAAAGAAAAAGGAAGGAGAAGTGAGCAATGCCTCTGATGATAAGGGGAAAGCTATTGTACAGGTTCCATATTACCAAACTCCTGCTGCTTCTCCATAACAACAATACGCACCGCCGCAAAACTATCAACAGAACCAAGGTCCCCAAGGACAAAGGGGTCAGCAAAGGCCGCAAAGGTATCCTGATAGGA